ACAGATATATATATGTACATCTGTATATATATATATATATATATATATATATATATATATATATATATATATATATATATATATATATATATTCATATTAAAACTAAAGAATAATTTATTCAGTGAAATATCAGGAGACCCGAAGCTTGCGTTTGATAGGCTTACCCAATGCAATAATGATTATATATATATATTTATATACACTTATATAATACTAGTGTGGCGATTTGGTTTTTTGGCAAATTTGATTTAGTTTCGGCCGAAACCGAAACACGGCCGAAACTAGAAAAATATGCAGCCTCGGCGCCGAAACCGAATTTCGGTCGGTTTCTACAAAATATTAAATCTCTGGTAGTAAAATTGTCTTTTTTATTCTGTATAAAATGCTCGACTTTGGTTTCTTCAAGTTCATCACACGTGGAAATATGATCAATTGATAATGTTTTGCAACAACATTCAAATACAGAAGGATCTGTTTTGTTTAATTAATAATTTTGTGTAGGATTTATTTTGATTCTGTATATTTTTTTGAGAATCAATTTATTTTGAAACTTTTTCTAAACTTAGGTGTGTATGTTGGAAAAAGTATGGACTAAATTCAGTCTTGCCATTGCGTGTGAATGTTGGTCCATGATTGGTTTGCGATTAAATTAGGGTACTGGTATATTTGATACTGATAGCCTGATGCATTGATTGAAATTTCAGATAGTGAATTTTTAAATGAATCTTGTGTGCGATTTGATAGGTATAATTTGAACCATTTATGTTTATTATCCGTTGTATCATAATTACGACACAATTTTGTTATAACTCAAACTGGTTCTTGATAAAATAAAATGGATAACTGTGCTGAACCAGGTCGATATATGGAAGTGTAAAAATATGTACTCCCGTTGACTGATAATCTGATAGCAACTGCCTCGAACGTAGTAAGTAGTGGAAGAATTAATTGTTATACTTGAATTTTTCACGAAAAATCAAACCACCATGACCTGGCCAACAAAATCAACAAACCGATACTCCGGTGGCATAGCTAAACTGACAACAGTATTTCCAACAAACCGAAGCCAAGCATTCATCAAAACTAGTTCATCTAACCCAATTGTTGTATATGACGTTATTTTATGTCAAATTGATTCATCTATTTCGAAGACTTTGAAAAGCCAAGCCTCACTGGCCACCTAGTTTTTTATTATCTGCCTTTAAAAGTGTAGAGTGTTGTTATAATCACAAAAAAAATTTTTAATCAACGTGATTTTTAAAAATTTGTTAACAAAAACAACAATCACATCAACAAGAAGTTTTTATCCATTAAAAAAGCCAGTTGCTCAATGAACCTATTTTTTTCACACAAAAAACGCAGCCTGGTAGTTCATACTACTACGGCTGCTAATAATAATATTGGAATTATTTAATCGACATCCAACTAAATACTTTTTAATAAAAATTTGTTGAACAAAATTGTGGTTCAGCCAGAAAGTCCAAGATGGCGAATGACAAATGTTTCATATTTTATGAAACGCAACAAAAATCTAATACTCGGTGGAAAACTTTGTATTTTTTTTTCTTGCAATTATGTTTATATTTTACTGATACTTATGTGCCTAGAATAATTTTTTGTCTTTTCACTAACTATGAAATAATTATTAATTGGAAATTTTTGTATTTAATTTTTGTCATCTGTAAATGTTATTGAAGGGTCATGGTCAACCCTCTAAGAAAGAACAAGCTGTTCGCAAAAATTAAAATCACTGAGCAAGTATTTCATCAGCTTGAGCAAATTTGCGATAGTCGAAAAACTTTATTCTTACCAAAACGCTACCAAATTTCATAAATATGTGAACACATAAAAAAGGTTTATTTATATATTTATTAAAATAGATGTATAACTCAGTTTAAAATGTGAAAATTCACAAAAATATAAAAAATTACTTCAAATCAATTTTGTTCACTAGTTTCTCTTCTGCACTTGCTGGTTATCCAGAATTGATAAACTTCATCAATGTCAACTTGATGCTCACTCAATAAATAAAACTTTATTCGAATTAACATGTCCAGATGGTTTATTTCAAGTCTGTTCCGTGATTTGGTTTTAATAGAATTCATCAAACTAAAACCATTTTCAGCATCAGCACTTGAAGCTTAAAAAGTACCACATATATCAATAAAAGTTTTCATAGTAGTAAACTTTTTTCCATTAGCACAAAATCAATCACATCATTGAATGCTTTCACATTTCCAAATTCAAGTTTCTCTTTTTAAAGAAATTTAAAATCATTATATTCAGATAGAATTTCTGCAAATGGAAGCAAATGTTTATATCTTTCAACTAATACATTTAAATCTTCTTTTCCAAATATATTTTAAAAATCTTTGCCTTAGCAAGTTGAACAGCTTCTATAGTTGATATACAACTTCCTTGAAATGTATTACATAAATCAGTTAATACATCATTAAGTATAAATAAAGCAACATGAACTTGGGGTCTTTTCAATTTTTTTAAGCAATATTTTGCTATCGGATCATTTTCTGTCTTCGCTTGATTTTTAAAATATTCTACTGCAACGTTGTAATTTTTTACATGTGCTTTTACTGCAACAGTCTCGACACCCATCTCACTTCATTACCAAGATCTTCTCTATGCGCTATACAATGTTTTTCAGTAAGATGCGGAACCTCAGCACGAATCAGCGCAGCAACTCCATTCTTTTTGCCTAACATAACTGATGCACCATCCGATTTGAACATAATTATTTTTTTAAATCTTATTTGTTTTGTGTATAAAACTTTGATTGCCATGAAAATTGATTGGCTGTCACAGGCTGTTACCTTTACCATGCCAGCAAAAACGGTTTTATGAAACCTGGTTTCTGCCTTTCGATACTTTATATAAATAATTAACATCTTCGTAATTGATATGTCTGTGCGGGTGGAATACTGAGTTTTGAATTTTTTTAATGTGTACTTTTTCAACGACAGCATTAATACATTCAACAAACTCAAAAGCATAATTTTGCAATTGACTCCAAATGAGTTCTATGCGTAATGTGTCTTCAAATAGTCTAATTTCCACAATTCCCATTTTTTGTCACTTGTAAATTTATTGCATGCTTTGGCTTCAGAACATATTTTGCAAATCAAACCAACATTTTCTAATTGCACGTTTTTCAAACCTTTTGAATCAACAGTCTCAGTTTTCACCATTTCTTTTAACTAAGCTTCTTTGAAAACATTTGCAGCCTTACTAGCTTTTGACGCGCCATCGGTATCTTTACGTTGTCGCTTCATAACGAAAACTTAAATTAGATCGCAAAAACAACTGTTTAATGTTAATCGGTATTTATCAGAACTTTGTACAAAACGATTTTACGTTATTATCAATTGATAAATGAATAAAGCTTTCATATTTCCGACAGAAGTAAAAACAGTGATAAATGCGGCGAAATATGACTAACAATACAGCGCTTAATTCCAAAAATTTTTGAAAATACGAGGTTTGGTGATATAAAATTTAAAAAAAAATTATGTAAACTTTTATTCTTACAATATCGAGTTAGTTGTTTGATTTACTTGCGCGGAAGGAAAATTAGCTGCGCCAGCGTGTTCAAACTACTGCGTGGGCGCGCAGCTTAGAGGGAACATTGGCCATATCTCTGCTAGCTCTGTTCCTTATTCTGATCACCTCCTTATTGAATCTGTATTTTCATTAGATTTTCTTCCTTCAAATTCATCTATGTCTATTTCTAAAAGATGCTGGTCTTCTCTTAATAAAGATATCTTTCTTCAATCTCTTACTGAAACTACTTTTGATACTACCTTATTTTCTGATGTTGATGATTTTGTCTGTGCTTTTAATATCTACATTACTTCTATTCTTGATAAGCTTATTCCTCTTAAATCTTTTACTTTCTCGTAAGGCTCCTTGGTTCTATTATGCTTGTGTAGTAGCCAAGAAAAGTGTTAGAAGACTGGAGAAAGCCTTTAGGTTAAATCCATCCAACTCTCTTTATTTTATCTATGAATCTGAATTGATTAATTATAAGTATCTACTATTTTCTAAACACTTTACTTTTCTTAAAAATTCTATAACATTTGCTTAAACATCTAAAAATAGGTGGTCTGCTCTATCTAAACTTCTTCATAAGAAATCCTCTCACTCATCTTTTTCTGCTCAACAGTTTCATGACTTTTTTTGTAAATAAAATTACTTCTTTAAGAACATCTAATTCTAATTTTTCTTCTCATAACTTTACAAAACTTACTACTGAATCTTTTTCTGTATTTTCTCCATTAAATCTTCTAAAACTTACTAAAATTATTAATTCTATGTCGTCTACAACCCTTTCTCTAGATCTACTTCCTTCTAATTTACTTAAAGAATTTTCTTCAATATTTTATCCAATCATTCTCAAATTAGTTAATTTATCTCTTTACTCCTCCAAATTTCTTACTTCTTATAAGAATTCTATTGTTATTTCTATTCTTAACCCATTAATGCCCAAATTTTTTAATTCAATCAAAATGATTTTTTTATTAGCATTGACATAAAATAAAAATGTAAAAAACAATTATTCATCAAATTGAAAAAAAAATAGTTTAAAAGAATGAGTCCAATGACTGCACCCTAATGAGGTGCAGTAGGCATAAATGTGTACATCAATGTCAAAGTGCATTTAAATAATTAAATTTAAAATCATTATGTTTCAATCATATGCCATATTTCAAAACAATGATCATGCAATCCTATATTACATTTTTTGCACCCTTTTCTTGTGTTTTTGTGGCAGTGAGCGCATCGCTTCTGAGTTTCCAATTGGCTTTGAAAATGGTCAATCCTGTCGATGCTAACTCTTTTGTTTGTCGAAGTTAGCCTTTTACCTGCCGCTATATGTTCCCGTCAATATAATTGAATGAATTTTTTATATGTTTCTATGGATGACATTCTAAGATTCCTCACAAAATTTCAGTGACATACGTCATCAAAAAGTCGAGATGTAGGTATGTTCCCATTTGGGAACGTTGGCGGCTACAAATTTTATAAAAACACTTTTTGTTCGTAATTTTTATTATAACATTAGTATCATACAATAAACTTCAATGATAAAATGAAAATCAATTGTATTATGACAAAATGAAAAGTTTATGCTTAATTCTATAAATCTTTTCAATTTTATAAGTTGTGAAATTTTGGAAAACATTTCTCATGCAAACGTTTGCCGCACATTTCACACCATTTACGGGAATTTTTTTGGCATAAACTACATCTTCCTTGTGTAGTTGATGACAAATAATGTCCAACAGTTGATTCCTTGACGTCCTTGTTGATAGGACTTGTTGGATCATCTTTCCTGCTTCGGAAATCGTTCAGACCAACTTTCATGGCTACTGCAGCAACATCACGTCGAAATTCTAAATGGCTTTTTGCTTGTCCCGATCCTACAGCGTGGCAGTGAAGCCTCCATGCAGCTACTACAACCATATTCAAACCGTTTGCAAAAAGGTTCCACCACCATTTTTTTGATCGAAGAATGGGTCGATAAGAACTAAGCAAACGATCCAATAGGTCAACTCCACCCATATTTTGGTTATACATTGCAACAACTTTTGGTTGTTTCACTGCGACCTTTTGCTTCTGTTTTGCAGAATATCGCAAGACGTTGTGGGTGGGTAGGGCACCAATCCAGTTAGAAATAAGGGTGACAACACTGTTGTCATTCCATCGTACGCAAATTATTTTACCATCACCATTGTAGTCGAAATCTCCGCGACTTTGTTTTCCTAATTCCTTGCATGAGACTAATGGACATTTATTTGTGCGATTTTCTCGTATAGTACCAATTGCTTTGAATCCTTTTTGCCGCAATTCATCCAACAAAGCATACGATGGAAAAAAGTTGTCAAAGTAAATGCTATGTTCTTCTGGAGTTTCTATGACAGATAATAGTTCATTCACTACACGAGTTCCAAGCGGAATTTTTTCTCCAACTTTTTCTAATTGCGTGTGAGAATCCTTGGCACCAGTATAAATTTGCATAGCAAATGGGTAGCTATCAGGACTGCACATCATCCATACTTTATAGCCAAAACGAATGGGCTTACCACGGATAAACATTTTGCAGCTGTGGTGTCCATAATACGGTACCATAGATTCGTCAATACTAAGACTTTCAGTGAAAACTTCGAATTGTAAATACTTCGTTGACTAATGTCTGTAAAACGGGGCAACTTTTGCAGCTTTACCATTTTCCAGATTCAAATTATCCACTAAATGAAAGTATGTTTTCAATTCTCTAAAACGTTTCCGAGACATGACTTTTGAAATTATGCTGTTGGACAAATCATCAGCAGTAGACCAATAGTGATCTTCTTCAGGGACTTTATGGTATCCACTGAAAATAAGTATTCCGAAAAAACGTACCAATTCATCAGCTGTAGTATCAACACTGCTTAGTTTTTGCCTGGCGTAAAGATTTGTCATTTGTGCAAGATAATCTAAGTAATCTTCTCCAATAAGTTGTATAAAAATTTCAAAAGGAGACTTATAAATAAGATTCGCATCCACCTGAGACAATGATTTAGGTTTCGATTTTGGTAATGGTTTTTCAAAATTATTCTTTTTCATCCATTTAGGTTGGGGACCATCTTTTTTTTGACCGTTTTGCTGGTATCTGATGTGTATATTTCATAAAGATTATGCTAACAAATAAAAAAAGTTATAAAATTGAGACCTACCTTTCTTGTTAAAATTTCCTCGTCTGAGTCATCTGAAATATTATTTGCCGAAGACGCATTTTTCACAATAACATCCAATTCGCCGCATACTTCGCCGGGATCAATGCTATCCAATTGATTTTCATTGATATCCTCAATGTCGGAATCCTCCAGCCGATCATTAGGTGGTAAAATTAAGATTTCACCGTCATCCTCAAGATCAGATGCATTTTCAATCAGATTCACAGCTTCAGCTAATGTTAAACAACGCCGAGCAGACATATTTGCGATAATAAAGAACGTAGACTTGATATACAAAGAATCAATCAATCAATCAATCAATAAAAAAAATTGGTTTATATAACGCTTTGTATGACACGTACATTTGCGCTCGGCTGAAAATATGATGAACAAATGAATAAACAAATAAATAAATGTTATTATGTGAACAAATATAAAAATATTTGCAAAAATTTTTTTTTATATTTTTGTATTCTGATCCGCCAACTTTACAACATGTGGCTGTTCAACTGATATTCTTGAACTGGTTTTTTGGCACCATCTAGAGGCTTGGCCTATTGGATCTGTTCCTAAATGGTTGGAGACCTTATAAACACTTCTGTTATCATTCCATCCAACAACAGCGTACAAATTATTTTTTTTCCGTCATACATTCAAAATATCCCCTTTCTTTCTTTTCTAAATTTTTGGGAATAATAATGGGACATTTTCCCAATTTGTTGTATCTAATTACTCCTGTGCATTTAATTTCTTTTCGTTCAATTTTTGTAACAGCCAAAAACTTGTAAAAAAACTGTCAATATATAAGTTATATGGGACATTTCGTGGCAACTCTTCCATCAAATCTAGCACCACTTTCCCCCAAACCCCAGTTTGTGGCTGAACTTCTCACACTTTGGGCAGTTCCTTTGGCTCCCTGATATGGATCAAACTGAACAACATAGCCATCACATGTTGCAAGAACCCAGATTTTGTAGCCCATTCGTATTGGTTTACCCATTATCCTTTGTTTTGTGCTGTGTCGCCCATAGTACGGAACCATGGACTCATCGATTGATAAATATTCTTCATTCAAGAAATACTCAAAACATTTGCTATTTATCATCGCATAAAAAGGTCGAATTTTTGACAATTTGTCATTTCTATCTAATTTGTCGTTATCACATAAATGAAGAACTGACATCGGTTTCTCGACATGCAGTTTGACATTGCTTCGTTGATTGTTGTGCACTAAGATTGTCAGCATTTGTGCTTTCTTCGTCACCACTATCTTCATCCGAACATTGAGAAACTAATAGGGGAGACGGGGGCCGAATGGACCGCTTTTTTTTGTCGCTCACTAAATATTTTTTCTTTGCTCAACAAAATCAGCTATCGCTATTTTAATAACTGATCTTGATTTGTCATTATCTTGCACAGTTGACGGTATTTTTTTAATATTTCCAAATAACGTAATTTTTTTATAATTTAATTTTTAAGGTGGGTTGTTCCAATTTTTTTGGTGGTCCATTCGGTACAATAGCGGTGTACTGGATGGACCGGGTAAAGTACCAAATGGACCATTAAAGAATAGCAACAAATTCATGGAAATAAACACATTTGAAGTATTTTTAATTGAAACAAAAATTGAAATAATAAGATTATTCATGTATGCAAAATTCGCAAATGTAATCAACTGCACTAGAAACACTCGTGCAGAGCTCGTGAGCCCACTTGGCACAATTTCTGCAACGAAACCACATTTCGTTGTCTCGGCCAGCCTCACCACACATGACGCATATGTCCTTCTCAGCATATAATTGTCTTTTAATTTTATTTTTTTTTGTTACTCTGTTGCTCTCTTCGGATATTTGATTTTTTTTATTTTGTTGCAATTTCCTTTTGTTCATGATGGGACGTTTTTTTATCTCTTCACGAGTTTGCTGCACGCGAAGCTCTTCTTTAACTGGGGTGTCGGTTAACACTCTGGAAGTTAATTTCTTACGTTTAGTTTTACGTACCTGACGAGCTGGAGCTTTTGGATACGGACGAACTGATTCAGGGGTAATAGCCA